TTAGGATTTCAGTTCTACAGCAATAAATTCCTCCAAGGAAAGTATTTGGTTCAATATTTCCTGACTGAAACATGTTTTGAAGGATTTGGGGTGTGGGACTTTTTGTTAATATCACGCCATATTTCATTTCATTATTACAAACCATGCCAAGATAAATATTTGAATTTTATGTATTTATTGGTGCACATTTAAGTGTAATTCTAAATATTTAGTGGCAGCCTGAGCATTTGCAAATTGGCTGCACATGACTTGAGTCACTAGCGCTGGATGCTGTTGAGGAGGAACCAACACACTTGCACTGTATGACAGGATAGGTCTCTCTTATCCAATTAATTTAATTATGGGGCTGTTATTCAGGGTTTATATTGCAGTGAGGGAGAGCAGCCTCTCCTTAACCCAAGAGGAAGTGTCACTCACCTCACACCTGTCTGGGACTGACACTGCAAACGAGCAGGTTGCTCACATCTCAAGTGGCTGCTGTGCTGTGCAGCTCTGCACTGCTTTTCTCACCTGTTGCACCTGGGGGATGGGAGAACTCCTTACACCCATTAAAAACTCAGTATTTTAGGTACCATATTTACCAAAAGGTCCCTGAGGATGTCTGAGTAAAGCTTGGTTAGTCTGGTGTAGGGCTGTTTTAGCAATCAGCACGGGAGGAGCACTCAGTTCTGAGCGCTGAAGAATGGAATGCTGGCTGTGCATTTCACCTGGAACGGGGAATACACTTACATGCTGACCTCAGACAAAAACAAGCAAGGTTTTCCTCGCCTGTGAGCTGACCACTAGAGATCTGTATGATGTAGCTGCGCTGGAGGAAAGCTAAGAGGAAGAATTAAGTAAAGAATATTCAAATGGCCTAGTTTGGGAAGCAGTGTAACACCTATTTATAAAACCAGCCCCAATTCAGGCATCCTTTGGGAAATTCTCTTTTATTCACCACATCCACCTGCTGAAGTACCAGAACACAGCAGGTGAGGTGGTTGCTGGAGCAACTCACAAATTCAAGAGTGGTTATGCTCTCAGGTGCTGATCACACTATAAAGCAAATTAACTGTGGAGGTTTTGTTGCTCAAAACTTCAGATGATACTTACATGGGATAACAAGGAATGTCTTCAGCATTTTATAAACCTGGGGAGGAAAGCAAGGCTTTTAACTGTGTGTGTATGCAGGGCTGGGGTATAGGCATCCCACATGCATATTGTTTACATGCTGAAATGGATGCAGCTATGTTTCATGGCTCGGATTTTCCAAATTTGAATTTCCGCTTCTTTTGTTGGCTCTTCCAAGGATAGTTACACTGAGGTTTTTAGATCTGATTCCATTATAACAGTTAAACAATAATCTAACTCCCTTAACTCACCCGTTACATTTCATTATTTGAAATAATGGCTGTAGGCATGTGTGAAGCCAAGCAGGACCTTTAGCTGGGCCATACCTACTGACAGCCTCCTCCTGTGACAAACAAAGGGACACATGCATAAATGAGGTACCCGTTACACGTGTCACACCAGTCCTTAAGAAAATACCACTTCTGACTCCATCATAGATAAGTAATTTTAATCCACTCCAGTCACAGATGTACTCAAGGAGATAGTACAGATTTCTTTGCATATTATGAAGAAAAGTCAAGAAAAACAAATTACATATTGTTTTCTGATCGTGATAAACATATTTCCAGAAAAAGTAAAGGAGTTGGGCTATGATACAAAATGAGTAGGAAGAAATGCAAGTGAGAGCTACCAAATACCTACGTAAATTAGAATTAATGCATGGAACAGATTCAGTTTAACAAGAGTGGGCTGATTTGAGAAACTGATTATGATTTGAATATTAATTTTTAAGGACAGAGAAATAACCTAAAAGCATTTATAGACTGTGTTTTTGTATACATCATAGCATTTTAACTCATGACTAAGTTATTACAGGAAGACATTGCCTTCATAAAGGTGTCTGTCTAGATGAATGACTTTTTTTTTGACTGTAGGATAACCTATTTGAAATACATTTGCATTTACTATGAGGTTAAGGGAAGCTTCTTGCATCACGATCCATTTCATATTTTTAGACCAAAGAATTTTTTTCAAGAGGCTGATAGTCATTGGTAGGAACTTAATTAACATGTCAGGGTAATGGCTGGTTTTAAGTAATTCACTCAAGTAAGGTCCATTGAAAGCATTCCATAATCAATTTCAAGAATAGTTTGCCAACCCTCAATAAGAATGGGAAATGGCAAGAAAATAAACCTGAAAAAATATTTACTAATAATACAGGAAGTCTTCCAATATTAAACAAATGGCTACACTTGAGTGATCTTAATAGTATCACATCCTCATGTCTTCCATTAGAACCACTGCAAAATTTAGGAGCTGATATCTTGAAAATCTTAGTGGATGAAGAAGTGCAGTTGAGACTCAGGAAACTCTGAAAGAGTTCAGGATGTAGTCGTGAGAAAAATAAAAGCTCCCTGTCATGGAAGTGTTGTAAAACATTTTTGTTCTTCCAAGAAGCACGTACAAATTATTTGAGGATGAAAACAGAGTGATTCATACTGGGCTAAGTGAACTGCAATATGGTTATGGAAGAGGCAGGAGCTGAAGGACATTTGCAAAGGCAACACAAAGCACATAGCAGGACAAAGGTATTCCAAGCTTACAAGGAAGGTGAGAACTTTGTAGGACAGGCACTCACGACTGAGTCCATATTTCAGCCACTCATCTGGGTCCATATTTCCATAAAATCAGTGAAAAAGATTCTCTAGATTTGCAAGACTTCCCCATCTTTCTCATTTGTTTACCTTGTTTGGCATCCATCTATGGTTCTTTCTAAGTGCTTTCTCCTAATCCTTTTTTCTCTTCACTAAAGGAGTAGAAACCCCTAAATTCGTGTTTTCCAATGCCAAAGTGGGGGGATTTTTTGAAGTGTTTAAATACTACTGTTACCTGATAAACCACTTCCACAGATCTGTTAGCAGAGAAATATATTAGAGGAGCTGCCAAACTCCAGAGGGAGTTCTTCAAGTGACAATAATCTAGATATCTAGTTAATGTAATATTGATACTTTAAATGGTATTAAAATTCATTCTGGAGGAAAAATATCAAGCAGGTATGTTTCAGTTGCGATATTTTATTTTCTCTATTTGTCTCTTTATACATAGAACAAATGCAGTTCACAGATTGTTTCCAACTTTTCCGCTTACTTATCCTGTAGAAATACATGACTAAGGAAATGATATCTATGCATCAATACCAGAAAAGGACACCAATAAGGTAATAGGTCAGAAGAAAGGGTTAAGAACATCTGTAAACTCATAATTCTATAAAATTCTCTAAAATTTTGAAAACGGGAATCAAGCCACCATTGGCAAACTGCTATTAACCCTTCAGTGACCACCCTAGCAGGTGAAAGGTTCGCCCAATAAGTGAAAGTACCCATTGTTGACGACATTGAACTTGGGTGTTCAGCTTTGGTGTAGACCAAATAAGCCAGAGTAGTTAAGATACCAGAACTTGTCTGGCAACCTCGGTATGGTGCTGTGCCGTCAGTTTCTTCCCAGCTGCTTCATGAAGTGTCCTTTTGCTGCAGGTGTGTGGTGGGCTGTTGTGTTTGTTTTTCTTTAGAGAATCCCATTGTAAACAAGAGTAACACAGTGCTGCCGGTTGATACCTGTCGGGTGGCACCGAGGTGGGATGCCCGTGTCCCGAGCCCCGGCTCGCTGGGCTCGCTGGCGGCGGTGTCTCCACCCCCTCGGCACACGCACCCCGCGCCCGCTGGGCTCTGCTGCCTGCAGCTCCAGCCTGCCGGATCCTGCCCCAGGATGGGCTCGGCAGCTTCGCCCCCACCCCGCACCCCCGCCCCTGCAGCTCTTCTTTTGCTTTTCTTTCCCTTTTCCTTCCTTGCCGTTCTTTCCTAGGCTCCGTTTGCCGTAGCATACCCCCTCCCGAGGGGTTTGCCTGGATCATTTATTTATCTTGTGCGCATTAAGAAACCACCATTAGGCTTTGGTGGGAGGCGCCTTGCTCGGTGCGCGCTCGCCTGCCTCCGCGGCGCTGCCAGAGGAATACACAATCGAGCCCAAGCTGCAAGCTTGGCAGGAGCTGCCTTTGCGTGCCCATTTACTTGCCGGATCCGTATATTTTTTTGCCGACTGGGTCACTGCCGCTTCCCTCCAGGGTTTCATCTTAATTTTTATTTTTTGCGCGTGTGTGTGGATTATTTTTTTTTTCTTTCTTTTTTTTTTTTTTTCGGGAATCCTCGCCGGAGTTTTGATGCCGGGCCGGACTTAGCGCGGGCGCGGAGGAGCTGCGCGGAGCCGTGCCGAGCCGTGCCTCCTGCCCCGGGCCCCGCCCGCGGATCGGCCTCCCTGGCCCGGCGCCGGCCGCGGGTTGGCCGCGGGGCCGCGGAGTGGCGGGTGCGCTGCGCCGCCGCCTCCCCGCGGAGCCGCCGAGGGATGCTGCTGCGCCGCGGCCGGGCATAGGCAGGAGCCGAGCGGGCGGGGGAGGGAAGGAAGGAAGGAAAGACGGAAAGAAAGGATCCCCCGAGCCCCGAGGGGAGAGGAGAGGCGAGAAGGTGCGTGAATGTGAAGGAATGTACCTGCGCGTCGCCGGAGCCGCACGCTTGGGATAAAAAATAAATTAACCGAGGAGGCTGATCCCTGCGACTTATTACCCGGAAAAAAAAAAAAAAAAAAAAAAAAAAAAAGGAAAAGAGAAGAAAAACCTTCTAGCGGAGGGACAAGAAGAAGAGCGCCGAGGCTGCAGCGAGCAGCTCCAGCAGAGTCGGGCGCCCGGCGGATGGCGCGGCCGTCCCGCTGACTCCGCGGCCGCGGGAGGCTGCGCGGCGCGGCGCGGGGCATGCCGTGCCGGCGGCGTGACTGAGCGGGGCGCTCCCGCCGCCCGCCCGCACCGCGCCGCGCTCCCCTCCGCTCTCCGCCGCATGCCGCCGGCAGCCGCGGCGCGCTGATGCCCCGGGGCCGCGGCGGCGCTGCGGACGGCCCCTAGGATGAGCGAGGGGGCTGCGGGTGCCGCGGCGCCCGGGGCGGCGGAGGCGGCGGCTGCGGCGGGGGGCCCGGGCGGGGATGGGGCCGGGGGGCCGCCGCGGGAGCTGCGCTGCAGCGACTGCATCGTCTGGAACCGGCAGCAGACGTGGCTGTGCGTGGTACCCCTCTTCATCGGCTTCATCGGGCTGGGGCTCAGCCTCATGCTGCTCAAGTGGATCGTGGTGGGCTCCGTCAAGGAGTACGTCCCCACCGAGCTGATGGACGCCAAGGGCGTGGGGCAGGACCCCTTCTTCCTCTCCAAGCCCACCGCCCCCCCCCGCGGCGCGGAGACCACCGCCGCCGCCACGCCGCGGCCGCCCAGCCGGGTCAGCCCCCGCCTCACCACCATGAGCCGGGCTCCCCCGCGGCCCCCCGGCACCCGCGGCCCTGCGCGGGGCGGCCCGCGGCCCACCGCGCCCCGGCACCCCGTGCCGCCGCACACGGCACCGCCCGCCAGCGGCCCCCCCGGCACTGGCACCGCCGGCCGCGCCGCCCGGCCGCCGCCCGCCGCCCCCAGCACCCCGCCGCTGCCCGCCTGGCCCACTGCGGCACACGCTACCTCCTCCTACAAGATCTACGTCCACGACTCGGCTCCGTCCTGGACCTTGTCTCCCTTCCAGGAGTCGACCACCACCACGCCGGAGGCCAGCACGACCCCCAAAACCCGTAAGTGTCGCCGGCCGCCCCGCGCCCTCGGGCCGCTCGCTGCGCGCCTCGCCCCGTCCGGACCCGGCGCTGGCGGGGTCGGGCCGGGGCGATGCGGCGCTCGGAGGTGGCCGCCGTGCCGCTCCCGTGCCGTGCGGGAAGCCGGAGAGCTCCGAAGTTTGCGCTTCTTTCTCCCTTCCCTGCTGGCGCCCCCTTTTTACCCCCGGCAAGTTCCCTGCTTGTGTGATGGATGTTGAGGCAGGAGCAGCCATTTGAGGAGAATGCTTTTCATTGTGGTTTTGGGAAGGATGCAGACCCCCTTTCCCCTTGTAGGCTGGTTTGTGAAAGGTACTTGGGAGATGCTGGGGGGGGTTGTCTGAGCGAGGGGGACCAGTGATGACCCCCCCGAAAGGGCAGTGTGGAGAGAGTGGTCCTCAGCAGGTGCGGGCTGCACTGTGCATGTGCTTCTCTGCTGGTGACGGAGTTCGGCTTCCCGCACGCTCGTCTCCCTTGAAACCAGGGCGGGTTCCGCAGGGATGCTCTCTCCGTCCCCGCTCCTGAAGGAGCCGCGGCCAGCTCCGCCGGGAAGGAGCCCGGGGCTCCCCGAGGATGTGCAGGGCCATCCCAGCGCTCTGCCGGCTCCCGTGTGTAGCCACAGCACCGTGGTGCCGTAGCCGACTATTTTTTTTTTAAGCAGAGGAGGGGGCTAGTTCTCCGATTGATGCTTGCTGGCTGGTTCTTCCCACCTTCCCAAGCACAAACGGAAGGATTCGGGCTAAAGCTGAAAATTCATTTGGTCTGGGTGCGTCAGCTTTCAGCTTTTCATAAAGGTTACTTAGGACAAATGCAGTCCGTGCCAAAAGAACTTCTGTGCGATGCTATTTAGTGAAATGCTCAATTATACTGTATTATAGTACTCTGCGCTTTCTTGGATGCAGTAGAGGAAGTGAAAAGCCGGGTGTCCTCCATTAACTCTTACTTGCTGCTGCTGGGAACATCAGTTCGGTTGAAGCCCTTTTTACAGCCCAGGGCTCCCCTTTTGTATGCTAATGTAGGGGTGTTCTGCTGGATGGTTTTGTTGGAATGCAATATGAACTTTATTTTGTCTGTTAAATCTATTTGTTGATAAGCACTGGAGCAGCGAGGATAGGCAGTGCAAGCTGATCTTGTGAATTGACAAAATTGGGAGAAGAACAGCAAATTGGATGTGTATGTGTGGGTGGGTGGGTGTGCAGGTGGCGGATGGCTGGCAATGATTACGAATGAATATCACTAAATCAGAAGCGCTAACGAGGCAATGACTCGTTTTGCCGGTGTGTGCCACAGTAATTGAGGGAGAAGCAGCCCTTACAGGTGTGTCCAAGCCTGCATGTTCTGTAGGTAGAACCTAAGGTAGTTGGAAGTTACCAGAAGGAAAATCTTTTGTGGAGCTCAACGCAGCCTGTTTCACTCAGGTATGGGGAGCTGTATAGGGCACTTCTTTAAAAACAAAGCAGCAAATGAAGCCAGATTTCCAACCCATATGTCTGCTCTCAGTTCTCTCACCCAGATATGCTGCATGGTTCTTCAGACTGCTGTGGTGTGTGTGTATCTGCCTGGGCTTGCCAGGTGGGATCTGTCAGAGTCTAAACGCTCCCTTGCAATCTCTTCCTTTCTTCCCTTTCTGTCTCGTTGGGTATGTAAGAGAAATCCACAGCAATTTCCGCCCCTCTAGGCTGTCTCCTTACAAGGTATAGAAGGCAGGAATGTCCTGATTAATAAATAGTGTTCAGCTGGCAGGACTCTCCTCTATGCAGGACACACAAAGGAAGAATAAAAACCACAATCTTGAGATGTTCCTGGCAGTTGCAGAGCTTCCTAACTATTTTTTGTTTTAGAGAGGCTGCTAATACCTTTTACAGCAGGGTGTTTCCCTTCATTAAATGTAGCTCAGTTACAGGATGGAAATTCTAGAAGTCCAAATCCAGCAGAAATTGACCCTGTTTGGGCACATTGTTAGCAGAGATTATCATTAATGGAAGATTAAATAGATTACATAAAAAAGGATTTGAATTTGTAGGGCATATGGACATTTTTTAAAGCCTACAGCTGTACTCTCCTGATACGTATGAGCATCTCTACGGATACATGTAAAATTCTTTGAGGCTGCAGTATGCACTGAGGGGAGAGGAGGGAGAAATGCAGTCTTAGTGCTGTGAGCTGCTGACATGGTATGACCCCAAAGCAAGTATCTGTGTCTGCCACTAATAGCTCTCAGTAAGAAAGGGATATTTTTTTTTTTTTAAACAAATTCATCCTAATTTCCCAGGATGAGCTGCGTGTTCCTTCTGTGCCCGTTGTTCCAGCTGCTATTGAAATGAAAGTCATGGATCCTGTTGTACCTTGTGAATGCAAATCTGACATGATGAATCTCATGCCCCATCCTGCTAAATAGTGCATGCCCTTGTGTCATCCTCTGGCTTGGCAAGGCACATATGTGGGAGGGAGTCATAGGTTATTTAACATTTCACGGCTTTTAAGAAAAGAAGCAGCTATCTTTATTTATACTGGTTTGTGTTGTAGTTTATTTAATTGTTTAAACATGTTAAAATGGGCTCAAAGCAGGACTTAGGAAAATAGGAGGCAAAACAGGAGTTATTTCTCTGGAAAGCCAGATGATTGCCCACCTGAATAAGTGTTGGTAAAGCCTTTTCTCTGTGTGTGTATTCATCTGAGATGTTGTGAAATCTCTCTTTTTTTGTGGGTGTGCATAATGACAATAATTCTTGGTTGTGTTTCACTCAAAGTCAAGCTATCTGTTCGCTGTTTTGAAAGTTCTTGATGAAGATCCTTCAGGTTCTGACTAAGCAAAAGCCACTTACTCATCAAATCTCTCTCTCTGTATCTTGTGCCTGCGTGTATTTTCCATGATCACGTATGAACCATGTCTTTTCAGCCTAAGCCTCTTCATCTAGTGCTCAGTGTAAAAGTCAGTCACTAATTTAGAAGGATAGTCCAGCCTGCAGATCAAATAAAATCAACCAACAGGCTGGAACATGCTAGTGAGGTTTTATTTTTATCAAGCCATTGGTTTCATTTCAAAAGAGTCATGCCCTGATTTTTCCAATATGCATTTTTCATGGTATTCTGCGTTCTTCAGTAATGTTATTATCCTCGAATTGAGATACTGTACTTAAAAGAATTCCTGTGTGAATTCAGCTATGAAATAGCTCAGTAGTTTCTCTTGTGTTCATATGACCAAAGGCTAATGCAGAGAACTGAGGTCAGGCAGGTGGGGCTCAACTAATGCATAGTAACCAAGAAAAGAGACGTTACAGAACACTTAATCAATACATCTTGTGAAGTCCAATTGCAACCCTTTTTTTTTTTTTGGGTATTCTGAGTATACTTTGATTTCCTGCTAAAGATTTTCTGGTCCAGTCGTTTATCCTCGTCATATCTCTGACTGATTGTTATGCACAGCATGGGTTCAAGTAACAAGCATCTGGCAGATGCACTGCTACCAGCACTGACATTTTGGTAAAAGCTGTTTGTTTTATTTTGCACTGACTCAAATATCTTTTTCGCATTAAGGATGACACTTAGATGGAACTGCGGGGTTTTCACCAACTGGAGGGTGTTGTGGGAGGTGCCAAACCGTAGTAAAACCAGACCTACTCTTCCCAGAGCTCTGGAGCTTTCTGCCAGCAAATGACATGGATTGTGAACACTTGGCATGATGAGTGTGAGCTGTCATTGAATCGAGGGGAGCACACGTGACTGCAGAGCACGTGCCTTTGGCATTAACTGAGATTAATGTGCCAGTTATCTACCAATTCTAAATGCTTCAAAAGCTGTTGAGTTGGAAAAAAAATATTGAGACAAACAACTGGGAGTTTTAAGAGCATTTGCTTCTTCTTCATTCTCACTTATTTTCTATTCACATACCTTCAGTCAGTATCACACAGATGATTGGATGTGTGTTTCCTGTTTTAGATACTTGTTGACAGGAAGGCTACTATCAAGGTAAAAATAACAAACACAGATGTGCAACCACATCACTGAAGTAAAAGTTATTGTAATTTATTTTATTTCTCTTATTTTACAGCTATAGCTTGCTTCATCTGTTTCAATTAAGTTAGAGGACACCGGACTTAATTCTGTTTTCCATTTTTAATCTTCTTTATAGTTAGGGGCTAGAGCAGCTATCATTGAATTCATAAAGAAGTGGAATATTTAAATAAGACCCACTCAGATATGTATATTGATTCTATTCAGATGTATTTCTTCTCTCTTCCCTTCATTAAAGTGATTGTTGGAATCCTATGACCTAGAAGAGCTTGCACAGCACTGGCATGATGAGTGGGAAGGATATGGCTGAAATTATTCCATGCTGATTTTTAACCCTGAAGGAAATTCTTCTGGGGACTGTAGAGTTTGTCATTACATTGATTTAACCTGTGATCACTGGTGAAAGCAAAGCCTTGACTTTTATTTGGCTTTTTTTTTTTTTTTGCATCTATACAAGGACATTATGTGATATATTATATGTTGACAACAGAATACCATTATTAAATTAGTGTATTGATTCATTGCAAAGGATTATGCTAAAGTAATGTTCATGGTTTATCTAAACCCACAGAAAATGGAAATTAAAAATTAAAGCAAAAGACCTGTCTCTACAGAATTGTGTCTAGTGTTGCACAGTGCATTTATCTTATGACTCATTGCTTTGAAGGCAAAGCCCAGTAAACACATGGATTGCTGTGGATTTGGCCTTGACTTTCAGTTTTGTAGCCCATATGGTTTTCAGGAAGTACCTGAAACTACCAGTGTTTGGTTTTGTTGATTTCCCCTGTGATTGTTTTGTAAACAAGCTGCACAAGGAGAAGTGCCTAGTAAAATCATGTGGGATGGCTTGGTCACAAGCATATATAAATAAATTTGTTAAAAGCAGAGGCTTGTTTGTCTCTGAGCCTGGTGGTTTCTTTTTGAGCTTCTCTGTGTTTGAACAACTTTGCAATGCTGTGCATGTGTGTGTG